ACCTTTTAGTTATTAACTTACAAATGTCATATCAAATAACACACTACAGTTAAAATTATAACTTTAGTTATAATTAAAAAAATATATGTATTTTAGCACGTGCTTTAGTTTGCTAGCCAACAAATTAATTTAAGTGTATAAACTAAAGAATGACAAAAGATTATTAAAATATATTTTAAAGCATTTGACATTATTACAGTGCACTTTTTAAAGATAAACTTAAAGGAACAGTCATGAAAGTGTACTTTAAGCACCAAAGTGGCCTTTTATATTATATTATATTATATTATATTATATTATATTATATAGTACACTCCTAGTGCGTATCCAAAACAATTAAGCCCACTTTTTTCCCAAGGGCATCCTTCACAGAATGCACACTAAAGGTAGTGCACATTGTGGCAACAGATTACAAGCAATATTATTAATTAAATTTAACAAATTAGAATTGAGAAATAATTAATCAAATTAATTCCTTAAAAGTTAACCATTTAAAATGAGTAAAACTTACAACAACCAAAAAAACATAAATGTAAGTCACCATTATGGTGATCAGTGTTTGTTTTGAAATGACGGTTTTCTCCTTCAGTGATTCTGCTTGTTAACATCAGGTGTCTTCAATGTTGCCAATATAAAATACAGAGTTCTTAATTACATCGGTCTGTTTTGGTGTAAACTTGACTCATTTTAAATAGTTAACTTTTAAGGAATAATTTGATTAATTATTACTCAATTCTAATTTGTTGAATTTAATTAACACTATTGCTTGTAATCTGTTGCCACAATTCTATTGATTAGATAAAGCATATTCATTTTTACAGTGTAGGTGGGGTTTCAGATTCAGTACACACATTTCAAAAGAGATTCAGGAGTTAAGCGACTGAGCTGTGGTTAATTGACACTGGAGTCGACTAACAGAGCGAGCCACAGCGGGGCAGTCGAACCTTTAACAAGTTCAGAGCTAAAAGTAGAGTACTTCTACAACACCAACCAAGGCATTGACTAATCTAATACTGTATTATTTAAAACCTCACATATGCCGCGGTCGGCGTCTGTCATGTTTGCTGATAAGTTTGAGGTAAGCGAGTCAACAACCAGGCAATTCCTCAACACACACAGTCTCATACAAATGGATTTGAGCACCAAGTACGCGAGGTTAAAAATAAAAGTACGTACTTGATGGCAATGAGAGAAACTGCCCCAGTTTGAAGGATTAATCTCTATTGTTTGCATGTGTGTTACCTCAGTAACCTCTGATAACATTACCGCTCCGCTACAATGGCGCGCAAACAAAACGACATCAGGAGCGAAATCTTCTTACGTGCGTTTGAATACACATTGGTTTTAATGCACTGGACATTCTGTAATAATCTGAAGCATTTGCTGAGGATTAGACCGTCAAATGCCGTGTCGATATAATCCCGGGACGTCGCCCTTTTGCCAGGATGACAATAAAATGAATTGTTTCGGCTTTCAGAAAAATGAGTGTTTATTAGAACGAGAAACTGTATTATGTTTTCATCTCCATTATGAGAGATTAGATGGGAGACGTTAAAACAATCTGCTGACGTTATCTGGTTTTATGTGATTAATTGTGTCTGAATTCCCACGAGTAAAGTGTATTGTCCCGGTGGAAATGACAATATTTCATTATGATGATAATGATGATGAAACACACCAAAAAAAAAAAGTCTGGGGGTCTAAATGATCAACCTAATGCTTCCGCCGCTGACCAGGACGAACACTTTCTAGCATATTTTCCAAGGTAGATCTTCTCTTCTGTCCGGCACCATCACTTCCCATTAGCTCAGCTGATAAATTAGCCATTCAAACACACATAAGCGCATGCACACACTCTTACGCTGTCCTCTAATGTTTATATGCAATGCTTAATGTTGTGTGACCGATTCTGCCGTTTCCATTATGTAAATATATTTGCCTCGCTGTTACACTACAACTATTGTCTACGTTCCCACGATTGCTCGAGCTATTAATACGCTGGGTTACAGGTCAGACCGCAGTTCTCGGCAGACATCGGTGTGTGTGTGTTGCTAATGCTACTTCATGGAGCGATTGCACACTGCAGGCCACGAGAGTAATTCCACCACAATGTCCTCGAAAGTACAACCAGGAACAATTTCTTCATTGCATTCAGCCTAATAACTATTCAATATTTAAATTGTGAAATAATATTATTATTTACAGCTCGATCGCTTGATAGTTGTGAGTTCTACACATTTCAAGATCTCAGAAAAGCCAAACAATGCAGATGTGAAAAAAACAGAAGCAAGTCAAGTCAAACTGTAAAATCTACTAAGAATTTTTTTTGTTAACTTTACTTAATGTCCAATAATTTGTTGAACTTACTTAAAATGTCTTAGTAATCTGTACTGTTTGCATGCTATGCCTTCGTTAGTCAAAAAAAACAAACAAACTTGTAAACATTACTTGACTGGTTTGAGTACCATTTTACAATTTTTTTTGCGGTCTATTGGAAGTATAACCCCAATAACGAAAGCAAATAAAATTGTAATGGTAATTACAATTAATTTATTCATACCGCAATGCACTCTGGGAGAACACGTCCTCAGATCACATGACAGAATTAAGTTGACTAAACTTTAATAGATTAAGTGAGAATAACTTGATGCAATTGAGTTATGCTTACTTAATGAAATTAAGGCAACGGGTTTGCATAATAAAATTAAGTAAACTGAACTAATTGGTTTTTACAGTGCATTTATTTCTATAGCGCTTTATAATACATATTTTTTCAAAGCAACTGAAGTGATAAACAGGAAATTCATGCATTTCGGCTGTTCGGTCAGTTGAATCGGTGTTCATGTTAAGATCATCAATTATTAAATTAGTTCATTTCATCTATAAAGCAGTTCTGCAAAAATGATGTCACCGCCCGCACAGCGTCAGTACAGTCAGATCAATAATACTGTTAAATGTTACAGTGTGACAATATTAAGTATCCCCAACTAAGTAAACCTGAGGCGACAGGAACCCAAACTCCATCAGGTGACAATATGGAGAAATAAACCGTGGGAGAAACCAGGCTCGGTTCTCCTCTGGCCAATGAACGAAAGCACAAACTGACCGCGAGAAACATATCTGATCAATGGCCATCCAGCCCACGACCTGTGCTCCTCTCGGGTCACACGATAAACAGTGTCGGGGTGAAACACACCACGCAAACCGGTCACAGCAAAGGCAGAGGTGTTTCTGAAGGTGTTTCGGCCATCACGCACACACACCTTCATTTATTACCAGAGACGAGACGCAAGCGGTGCCCACCGTCATTCAATCACATTACGCTGCGCCGGTCTCATTACATTCTGATGAAATTTCAGAGTCGATAATGGAAATAAAGCTAGCGCCACTAATTTCCCTAAAATGCCTGCTTTCTATAAAAAAATAGAAAATAACTCCAATCTCTGTGTTGACAGCGTTTTAAAGATTTATGCCATACAAATAATTTCACTAGAGTAAATTAATTTAAAATAGTCTAGACTACTTTTGTATATTCCAGACTATTCTAGAGCTATTAAGAATCTATTAATGCCATTAGTCCATTATACAAAACGCCAGTCCTTGAGGAGAACTCTTACCTTATGGAAATATTTGTATATGATCTGACTATTTAAATAAGTGTAAAAAATATTGTTGGTTTAACTTAGAAAAGTAAGTAACCTTGATTGAACTGGGAAAAGTGAGTTAATACAATGAAGGAGATTGATTTAATAATCAAAAACATAAAAAAATATCATATCAAATTAAAATAATAAGTTATCTGAACTAAATAAATTATTTAAGTTGATTTGATAAAAGAAAAAATGTTGTAACAAACCTTGAATATATATATATATATACATTTACAGTGGTCATTTTAAATAAAAAATAATAAATAAAACCAGGTAATTGAATTTAGATTAAAACCATTTTACAATGAAAATGTTCATTTAAGCTTTTTCTATTTAATCAGACCTTTTTAAACAACTTTCATTTAGTAGCCTAATGTATCCTCATGTAGGCAAGTTGAGTTAGGCATATTAATAATAAATGTATGTTACTAAATAAAGTGCATTTTTATCTACCTGACAAAACATGGCGTATCTGTATAAACTTGGTAGCTGGAAGTCCTTTTATTTTCTAATAAATATTTTTTGTATTAATTTTAGGTTCAATTGCTGCCTTAATTTTAAAATAAAATAAAATCAAAGCAATCAGTGTTGCCAAATATATAGCCTACAGTACACTTTGCATTTAATTATTGATCAAGAAAATCAAGTCAAATACTTTTTAACACTGATTTACATATAATTGCAGATTAAACTTAAGAATAGTTGACCAGACAACCTAATAAATTCACTTTGTGGTAGCATATGCATTTATGATTTAATAGAACGGTCTAGCCTACATTAGGTTATAGCAACATCATTTTAATAGGTCAGATTGAGTAGAAATAACTCCTGAAATGTAACAACCACACTTCAGATTTGACAGTGTCTAGTCAGTTGTACTAGTTTATATAAATTCACAAAACACTATACAAAAAAAAATCTATTTATGCATCGATCGTCACAGGAGAGTGAAAAGGTAAGATAACATTACAATCGCAGCGTGTAAATGAGGTCAGATCTAATTTGAGGTTACGACAAGGGCAGATATGAGGACTGTAAATACTGGATGCACAGACCGAGAAATAAACGGCGAAAGCGAGTGTTTCCTCTCGCGAGCGCGAATCAGTGCGCATCTGTCATATGTTTACACAAACTTGACAGAGGAGCTATGCTGATGCGACCGCGCGCATCACACAAACAAACACACACACACACATGTACAGACACCCAGACTGCGCAGTTATGCCGAGATGATCGGTACTTAATGCTGCATATTCCAACCAGTGCGCACGCTACCTCTCCGTTTTTTCGGCTTTATGAGGGAAGCGTTTACCTACTTAGAAAACGAATAATGACTGAAAGAAACTTTACCTTTTTGCTTAGACCTTCTCCTCCTCCTCCTCTTGAACTTGCATTTGACTTGGCTGCTGGGGACCGATGCCATGGTGCTCGTATTCTGGAGAACTTGTTCTGCTTGATGTTTCTGAAGTTGTTGCTCTGCTGTGGTTGCGCACGCCAAACGCTCCGGGAATATCAGCTTCGCCCTATTCCTCCTCACACTCTTCTAATAAGCTCTTGATAACGAGCTGAAAGTGACTGTGTTCTGAGCTCAGCGGACGTCGAGTCCTCCTCCCGCGTGAGAGCGCGTCTGGAGCTCCTGCGCCTCTGCGTTTTTTGGCACCAGCCACTTTGAATCCAATCATGCAAGACGCGTGTCTATTTGCTGCCGCAGATTCTAATTAGAGCCAATCATGAGAGTCCTCGTGCTCTGACATCACGACCGATGACACACCCCCCCCATCCCATGCAGGCGCGCGAACTCAGCCTTCATCTCGGAGTGAGTGATGACTTGATGCGCGCGGGTGAAAGGAACGACAGGAAGGATGGGGTGTTGCTGGGACAGCAAAAGTTGCAGAAATACAGTATGGATATACAGTGTTCGAGCATTAGTGAATAGAGTTCTGTTTTTTTATTTTTATTATTAAAATGTGCTGATTACATATTATTTAATTAGCATACACATTTGCGTCATTTTCATTTGTCTTTTTTTCTTCAGTTGAAAAGAAATTAAGGTTTTTGATGAAAACATTCCAGCATTTTTCTCCATATAATGGACTTCAGTGGGAACCAAACGGTTCAAGGTCCAAAAGACAGTTTCAGTGCAAACTTCAAACTGTTCGAAGGGCTTTAAACGATTCCAGACGATGAATAATGGTCTTATCAAGAGAAACGGTCGCTCATTTAAAATAAAAATAACAAAGTTTAAGTTTTATAAGCTCAAATGGTCGCCTTGCTCTGTTCTGTGATGCAAGTTTGTGACTCTCCTGTTCGAACTCGTTCATCAAAATGAATAAATCTATTTCAGAGTCAATTTGTTCATTTTGTTCGTTGAATGAACAAAATGACTCATTTTGATGAACGAGTTTGAACAGGAGAGTCACAAACGTGTCACAGAACAGAGCAAGGCAAGCATTTGAGCTTATAAAACTTAAACTTTGTTTTTTTTTTTTGTTTTGTTTTGTTTTTTTTAATTAGTGATCGTTTCGCTTGTTAAGACCCTTATTCGTTGTCTGAAATCATTTAAAGCCCCTTGAACAGTTTTCAGTTTGCACTGAAACGGTCTTTTGGACCTTGAACCTTTTGGTTCCCATTGAATTGCATTATATGGAAAAAAATCCTGGAATGTTTTCATCAAAAACCTTAATTTCTTTTCGACTGAAGAAAGAAAGACATGGACATCTTGGATCACACGCGGGTGGGTAAATTATCAGCAAAAGTTAAAAAAAATAAAAATAAAAAATGAACTACTCCTTTAAGGTTTTTGATGAAAACATTCCAGGATTTTTCTCCATATAATGCACTTTACTGGGAACCAAACGGTTCAAGGTCCAAATGAGAGTTTCAGTGCAGCTTCAAAGGGCTTTAAACGACACCAGACGATGAATAAGGGTCTTATCAAGCGAAACGATCGTTCATTTAGAAAATAAATAAAAAAGTTTAAGTTTTATAAGCTCAAATGGTCTCCTTGCTCTGTTCTGTGATGCGCGTTTGTGACTCTGTTCGAACACGTTCATCAAAATGAACAAATCTTTTTTCAAGTCATTTCATTCGTTAAATGAACCAGATGACTCAAAAAAAGATTTGTTCATTTTGGTGACCCTTATTCATCGTCTCGTGTCGTTTAAAGCCCTTTGAACAGTTTGCACTGAAACTCTCATTTGGACCTTGAACCGTTTGGTTCCCATTGAAGTCCATTATATGGAGAAAATCCTGGAATGTTTTCATCAAAAACCTTCATTTCTTAATTTAATGGACATCTTGGATGACATGGGGATGAGTAAATTATCAACAAAAGTTTTTTTTTTTTTTTTAAGTGAACTACTCCTTTTCTACTTAATTTATCTCTGACAGTGTGACAAACCTAATTGGAAAAAGATACAAAATAGTAAAATGTTCAAAGATACAGAGAGAAAACTATGAATGGAAGTATTGACTTCCATAATGCCTTTGAAATTTCTTTATTTGGTGGCTTTTCTCAATAAATGTTTGTATGTGGTTAAATGTGATTGAATCAAAATTTGATTCATTGTCCAGAATATCATGCAAGTAATTTGATTAAAAATGATAATCAATTGATCGCATTCAAAGAAATATGATCGCACTCAAAATTAGGTATCAGTTGTGAGGAAGGTGTGAGATGGTTCATCCACGTTCACATATATGATGAACTAAAGAAGAATTGAGATAAGCACGTTACTCTTCCCCTAAAGCAAACACCTCCTCCAATCTGCTGATCGACAGATTTCTAAACTGAAATAATCGTAGACACATGCATTGATGTTGACATTTTGCTAACAAAACAAAAGGCTTTTTCCCCCTGTCAAATGTCATTAGACTTCGTCTAAAATACCAGCAGTGCGACTACTTGGTGACATTTACTGCAGGAAAAAAAAAAAGTGGAGCGAATGGAAGTACATTTGAAAACACGGCATATTTGCTGACAGAAAAGTCACTTTGAGATTCCTTTGTGCGCTTGGAACATTTCTATGAGGGCTATAGGGAAAAGGTGTGGGTTTGCGTGTGTGTGTGGATGGATTGGGAAGGGTGTTGTGTGGTCTGTGGGGACACTGGTTGCCTGGAGGACACCCACAAATATCCATGTAAATTGCAGTTTAAGAGAAATCAATGACGGTGACAAGTTGCCAATGCCACTATCTGGGGACATAATGAACGTTCGGCGAGGCAAACTGCTTCCTGATAACCCTATAGGGTATATGTGTGTGTGTGTAAGACAGAGCATCAGCACCGCTCTTCTATTCACAAACACTTCCTTTTATGCACAGGTAAACAAGAGTCAAGAGTTGAGACCAACACAAACTGAAAAGGTTTGAGAGGATGTTCATTTCACTACACTGCTCATCTCAGTGATTGGTTTTTAAAGCTTCTGCATCCAAAAATGACAATAAACACAATTTACTTTTGATGCTATGTTGTCTAATTCAAAATAAGTGGCAGTGACATCGCGTCTCACGAGACAGTACACTCTAAAAAATGCTGGATTGTTTCATTCTTAAAGCTACACTGTGTAACTCTTTTAGTTTATTCTTAACTAAAAACACTTAATTCTTTCAAAAATATATGTGCTCATTAATGTATATTTACTTCGTTCAAGTAAAGTATTCTCGTGAGTGTATAATATGCCTTTGAAAATACATACGGGTAAGGGGTTCTAATGTCGGTCGCCATGTTGCCCCTCCATCTTGAATGTACATTAGCCAAAGAGGGACATACGCGTTAATTAAAGCTTCGCCTTTCGCGTTTACGTTCGAGTTAACACTCATGGACGAGGTCGAACTGGAAGCCATGTTAATCTTGGACTACATTGGCCACCGTAGGAGTTAAAACGAAATCGGAATTGATTATTCACTGGATGGTCATATACCTTTTCACCACTAGATGGAGGTAAAAATCACACAGTGTAGCTTTAAATTACATTTTTAACCCAATGTGTGAGTTTGTCCATATTTGAACCAAAATTGGGTTAAAACAACCCAGCATTTTTTAGAGTGTAAGGCCTTCAGAATGTGCTCATCTTCAAATGGCATCGGTCTAGGCAATAAGCATCACTCCCTTGATGCACTGGGGCACCTCATTGTACTACTTTATTTAATTGTTTTTACTGGGATTGTTTCAAAAACGAGAGCCAGTTCAATGGAAACCATTCAAATACAGATGTTGCTGGCCATGACAATTCCTCATCAGATGCAGCAAAATGAATCACTCAGAAAACAACTGCTGTCTTGATAATATGATCAAATACTACACATACTTACAATACAATTTATTTTGTTGTTGTTTCTATACACTCTCAGAAAAAAAAGGGTACAAAAGCTGTCACTGGGGCTGTACCTTTTCAAAAGGTAACCTTTTGTCCATTTTAGGTGTTATTAAGGGCATTTTAGGTGCTAAAATGTACATTATAGGTGCTAATAAGTACATTTTAGGTGCTAATATGTACTTTTAATTGCTAATATGTACGTTTTAGTTGCTAACATGTACATTTTAAGTGTTAATATGTACATTTTAGGTGTTAATAAGTACATTTCAGGAGCTAATATGTCCATTTTAGGTCCTAATGTACATTTTATGTGTTAATATGTATATTTTAAGTGTTAGTATGTACATTTTAGGTGTTAATAAGTACATTTCAGGAGCTAATATGTCCATTTTAGGTCCTAATGTACATTTTATGTGTTAATATGTATATTTTAAGTGTTAGTATGTACATTTTAGGTGTTAATGCATTTTAGGTGTTAATATGTACATTTTAGGTGCTAATATGTATGTTTTAGGTTCTAATATGTACATTTGAAGTGTTAATGTGTACATTTCAGGAGCTAATATGTACATTTTAGGTGCTAAAAATGTACATTTGAAGAGTTATTGTGTACATTTCAGGAGCTAATATGTTCGTTTTAGGTGCTAATATGTAAATTTTAGGTGCTAATATGTACCACTAAGGTACCAATATGCAGCCTTTGGGTACAAAAGTTTACCTTTTGAAAAGGTACAGGCCCAGTGACAGCTTTTGTGCCTTTTTTCTGAGAGTGTATTTAAATGTCTGTTTTTATAATGCATATTTTATTTAATTTGTATTAATTACTTAGCACATTATTTTAATACTATTTTGTTAGTGTAATAGTGTGCAATATATTGTTTTGTCATTATGTGTATAAGGCTTTGGCAATATTATATGTAAATGCAATCATGCAAATAAAGTAGCATACTTGAAAAATGAAAATGAGAGAGAGAGATTTTATGACACATTATTAAATCTTTTAAAACAATCCATTAATCATACACTTTACTCAAGGCATTTAGCAAAAATTAATTCCCCATCCTTAAAAAGCACACCATTTCTTTATAAGTCCATTTCGAATTCCTCTATATTCTCCATAAGTTTCTTTAAAAAATTGATTTAATTTTTACTTTAGAGAGAGAAAGGGAGAGAGTTTATATTATTATTTTTAACAATATTATTTTTATTGCTCCCCATAGCCATGTGTGTGTGTGTTCTTTCAGGGCCGGATCAAAGAAGAACACTGTTGGGGATTAGAACAGATAAACCTGCAGGTTTCAATTAAATAAAGTAAATAATTAAGAGAAAAGCAAACAGTCTGAACTGCTTGTTGCTAAGTTGTGAAAAATTAATTCATAATAATATAATCTCAGGAGAACATTTCCTTCCCTCTCTCATATGTCAATCTGCTGGTATTGTCTCCAGGCTGCAGAACACTTTATAGATGTAAACATGCGCTCTGACT